TCACGAAGTAATGCCTGACGGCGGTTTCCATGAGGGATTAGAGGAAAGAGGAAAGGGGTTTAGGGTTTAGTGGGTAGGGGCGTCAGCGTCGAGTTTTAGTATGACGCTGCGTCGAGTCGCCACATATCCGGGCCAACATCTATGCCTAGAATCCGTAAAAAGGATTTTACCCCCCGTAAACGGTAAAAAAAGAAAAAAAAAAAAAAAAACACACACACACACACACGGCAGAGGAGAAACTGCTACCAGGCGCGTCTCCCCGTAACGGATGGGTTGACACTCGCTGTCTTTGGATGACACTAGGTCTCTTAGTTGATGGGGTACACAGGGTAGGAGCTAAATAAAATACCCTCCCGTAGACAAAACTCCCCTTTAATGGGTGGTCACACTAACTGACCTAGCAAGACGATTGTTCCTTGATGTGACTCACTGGGAGTGTCCGAAATTTGTATCGTAGTTTCCGACGATGCAGGCCACGGCTGATGTGAGCTCGCTCTGCCTAGGTTTAAGTTGCAGCAGTGGATCAGGAGCCAGTCACTTCGGGCCTTGATCAGGAAGTACGCAGTTAGTGTTAGAGATCGGAATCTTCACCATCGTCTCTCATAGCGCGTCTACGTTCTGGTCTCCTGTACGCGTCATTTTTGATGGCCTCGTATATGTCTTCTAGAGTTTCTCCTCTCCTTATTTTGCACAGGCATCGTAGAAAGTCCGGCAGATATTCGTATAATGTAGTAGCTGCTGTTTGATCGAATGTCCGTTTTACTACGGCCCTATCAGCTTTGGGAGCGTTGACCTCAATACGACGGACCATCTCGCTTAACTGGTAATAAAAGTCTTCGATATTTTCGGTATCTTTTGGGCTTACCGCGGCTAAGTTTTTCTGCCACGTGATGTATGGGTCGCCCCTTTTGAGTTTTCGACCTAATACTAGTAAAATATCTCCTACCGAGGCTAGTTCGACATGTTCAATCAATCTTTTGGCTCGCCCATATCGTTTTTGGGCTATACGGCGAGTGAAAAAGCCTTGATTGTCTGCTGGAATGCTCGGTAGCCAGTTTCTTACTATTCCGTCAAATAATTCAAAGTCTTTTACCGCGGTTGGCCCTTCTCCATTGAAGTAGGGCAGGGCATCGTGAAGATCCTTAGCCAGGGTTTGTATCTGGGCGAAAAGGTTTTCCTCGTTTATAAAGGTGTCTACGAGGAAGGTTCTCCTAGCAATGTCTCCGAACGGAAAATCGTTTGAGCAAGGGACGAAAAACGTTCCTTCTTCGTCTTCGAAGGCTTCCACGGTTTTAGAGTGACTTGATTCGACGAAGATCTAACTGTCTTAGGGGCCATCCATAAATTACGTCACACGAATTTCAGGATTTTTTAACCCCTCCCCCCGTCCCTGTCACAGGTTGTCACATTTTCCAAACCCCCTCCCCCATGATGTTACGTCACACATTTTTCAATTTTATGCATGTGTTCAAGAATAATTAAAAACAAACAGTCATTTTTATTTTTTAGAAAAGCGAGCAAGCACTCGCCGGCAATTTGAACCTACTCAGACCCTTACTATTCAGACCTCTTGAGAATTTTAGTATCTCACTTGCATTACAACGCCGCTTTAGATGTTAGATGTTGTTGCGTGAGAGATAATCTCATAACGAGAGTGCTAAAGTATCAATAAATATAAATTGAGTTCGTTAATATTTTAAGTTTTTTATTCACATATACAGTGTGCGTCATTGATTCGTACCGGTTGAAAATTTTATAGCAAAATAGAAAAATCAAAATTTCGACATCTGTAAATGAAGAAATCAATAAAAGAAAAATCTTTATAAGCAACAATTTAAACAAAATTGAAAAAATAATTCACTGAAAATAAATAACTCAAAATATAAATCACAATTAAAATAGAAATTGAAAATATTAGCAATTCAAATGATTACACACCATAAAATAAATGAAAGTAAAATTATAATATTAAAAAAAAAGATAACAATATAATTGGATAATTTTCAAATTTATCAAATATAAATATAGACATTAGATTGAATAAAATGAACTGAATTCAGAAAAGTCAGTAAAAAGACATTTAAACATTTATATTTATAAAAATATTGACAGTTATTAACATATGAATTCTTAAGCAATATACATCTATAAATATCGACCAGCAAATTTAGAAACCCGTGATGTTAGACATCTGTAAATTTTGATTTATATAAAATTCATAAATTCGAATAAAAATACAATTAAATATATAATTGCTTGCAATTTACGAGCTAATAAAAAATTAAAACAGAACTTCTATAATGCTCGAAAGCACTCGACTACAACCCTTCGATGATTACGGGTCGGTTTTCTAGGAGGTTGCGGATCAGGCAGCAGTGAGATTCCCCGTACTCCAAAAAATAACCTAGACATTTTCAAAATAGTGAGTGTCGTGTTTATCAGACTTAGCTACTCATGGAGGTTTACGGAGTCGGTACTCCAGGAGATTGCGGATCAGGCAGCGGTAAGATTCTCTGCACTCCAAAAAATAACCTAGACATTTTTATGATAGCGTGTGTATTTCTTCAGACTGATCCGCAACTTCCAGGGAACGACAAACCTCCATGAGTAGACAATTTTAAAACAGTGAGTGTCGTATTTATCACAGTTAGCTACTCATGGAGGTTTGTGAACTATTTTATAAGTGAATTATTTTTTCAATTTTGATTAAATTGATGCTTATAAAGATTTTCCTTTTATTGATTTCTTTATTTACAAATGTCGAAATTTTGATTTTTCAATTTTACCATGAAATTTTCACTCGTCAGGCACGAAGGCTAGATAGAAGGAGCACGCTCGGGATAGGGTTTTCAGCTGTTATAGCGTCCCCGTATCCGTGTAAAGATTTTAGTTTATATTTGGTCACCAGATAGCAGTGGTGTTGTGGAGATCCTCTTGAGGTTTCTAATGCGCATGACCACACATGACTCGTATTGTTTTTTCATTAAAAGTGATAAATTAAAAAATAATTTTGTGTATATTATTTGTTTTTTTGACGTTATAAAATTACATTTTGATTAAAAAATGGTGAAAACTTGTTCTGTGCTTAGTTGTGAAAGTGGGAGAAAAAATGCGCGTGAAAAAAATAATGATTGCAATCTGCGTCAGATTTCTTTATTCAAAATTCCAAAGATAACCTTAAAATTTATATTTCATAATTTATAACAAGTGTATTTATTTATTATTTAGATTAAAATAAATTTATTTATCATGAGTCACTTATAATATGATAAAGTATAGGGTTATAAAAACATTCTTATATTTTTCAAAGGATCCTGAAAAATTAAGGAAATGGAGCTCAGGGTTAAATCAAGACTTAACTGCCAATAAGTTTGTTTGTGAATTACATTTTTCAAATGATGATATTATTAAAAGAGATATCGTAGAATTATTTAATAGTGATATTTTTGTATCTGACCGAAAAAAGTATACATTAAAACCAAATGCAATTCCAACAATAATTAAAAATAATACGTCTTTAGAACGCAGTGATTTACCGTCGAATCCTAATAATGTAAGTACTATGACTGTTCTAAAATATCTATAATTTGCTCAGTCGATGAAATATACGCCATAAGAATGAAATATATTTATCAATTCTAGAATGTTTCAACGCTTGAAAATTCAACTACAAGGACTTCTAAAGATGAAACTCTTGTTGGTTCTTTAGATCTTCATGTAAAAGTGAGTAACCAAGATACTTCCAGCAGTACTCCTAATCTTAATTACGAGGTGAGTAATTGCGTCTTTGAGATGAATTTACTGTCACTACTTCACTGTTTTTTAATTATTTTATTGTATTGTTGTGTAGCTTCCACCCGATTCTCAAAGTGAAAATTTAAGTACAGAAGATACTTTAATAAAATTAACTATTATGGAATTAATCGAAATTTTAAGAACTAAAATGTTACCTGAAAAATGGAGCTGGGCCAGTGACGTACAGGATTATCATAAAATTTATTTATTTTATGCAGATCCTAAATCTCTTTCGTTAAAATTTCACGTTAAAATTGATGAGGAGTTTAATATTACGGTAAATTATTTTAGCCCTTAGTAATTATTTTTCGGTATACTTGAATTTACATTCTAAAATAAAAATTTTTTTAAATAATTAGTTAACAAACATGAAAACCAATAAATCAACTGGGATATCATTTGATCTGTTGATTGTTGAAGATTTTTGGGACTTATTGAAACAGTTACAAAGCAGTGTTTTTTGTGATGGTACAGGATTTGATTCTGAAAGGTAATAATTTTAACTAACTTTTTTTGTGATGAAGGATTATGAAACTCTTAAAAATTATCACTAACATTTTGCGCTACTAAATTTCGAATATTGATTCACTTACGAATGAAACATAAATCGGTGAATAATAACGTTTTTTTTTCTTTTTATAGATGTTCTTTAAGTTGTATAAATATAATAACTGATAAGAAGCATCAACACTATCAAGGTATTATTCGATGCCAGTCTTGTCGAGTTTTGAGACGCCAACTACAAAATCGTCAAAATAAATCTACCAAGGACTTGAAACTGCAATGTAATAATTTGAAACAGCAATTGAAGTTGCAGAAGCGAAAATCCGCACGCCTGCAGCGAAAGGTAGTATTTGTACAAAATAATTGATCTTAGTATTTAATAATGTTTCTATTTTCTCATTGCTTCTTATGTAAAGAACATCGAGTTATCTCAATTGATAGATGAGCAAAAGTTGAAATGCGCTGCTGTTGAAACTAAAGTAATTGAAAAAGCGATAGCTGATTTACCTGAAGTTCAACAAAAAGCAGTACGAGCTTGTTTTGATTGTGCTAAATTAAAAAACTTCAAGCTAAGAAGATATGATGTCGAATGGGTGTATGAATGTCTACTAATTCGAATCAAAAGTTCCGCGTTGTATGATCGTCTGAGAGAAAGACAAATTTTACCCCTTCCATGTAAGGATACATTGAATTCTTACATTCAAAAATTAGATAGCGCGTTTGGTTTCCCGAAAGCTATTTTTGAGACACTTGCATACAGAGCTTCACGTATGGAAACTTATTCTAAAAGGGGTATCATTGTCCAAATTTTGATCACGCTTCTGCAGTAAAATTAACATTTTATAATTAGCAGTAGTTACTAACAATATAAAATAGTCGATTATACTTATTTTCAAAGGCTTTATTTATCTTTATTAGGGTGTGCAAAAAGTTTTTTGAGCCTCATAAAGAATCTCTAAATTTCAATTGGTCAAACTAGAAATTTCGGAGTAACTCCGAAAAAACAGTTTTTTCGGTTTTCTTTCGTCAACGATAACTCACGAACGAATAAACCGATTTTAACCGGACTGGCGGCGATCGACGTGGTTTTCTAATGTTAAGAGCTGATTAGTTTCTAAAATTGATCGGTAAAGCCGTTTAAAAGTTATTTCAAAAAAACCATTTTCGGAGGATTCAATTTATCGAAAAATGATAAGAAACCTTTTTTATTCAGCGTTCAATTTCCTATAAAAATATTGGTTGTTTGTTCGGTAAAGTTGGTTCAATCAAGAGAAATAAAAATCCAAACTTTCTGGAAATTTTTTTTTCCGTATGAATTAAACGAAAAATCGAACAATTCAGTTCGCGACCTATAAATATTGATACTAAGAGCTCAAATTTTAACTGAATTTTAAATTGTGGTATCTTCTAACGAAATTTCAAGAACTTTTTGAAAAAAAAAATTTGTTGATTTTTTTGGCACACCCGAATCTTTATAGAACCAACAGTTTCGTAACTGACTTTAAGTTTATGCTTATTTATTTTTTTTTATCTTGGAATTTCTCAAGTAGTTTGTCTCTACTAGCTTTTTTATGCTACATAATTTTTTTCATTTATTGTTATTATTTTAATATTGTTATTATTTATTATATTTTTTCATTAGGTACACTTCTTATTGATGAAGTAGCCTTGAGTGAAGGGGTGAAATTAAATTCGCGAACGATGAAATTTGATGGTTTTGTCGACTTAGGAGATCATACACCAGAAAAGTACTTAAATACAAGAGCTGACCATGCTCTTGTATTCATGTTTCAGCCATTTCAAGGCGACTGGGTACAAGTCGTTGGGAGTTTTTTAACCACTTCGGCACTAATACAAAAAATTAACATTTTCAATATTTCTCAAATATAATAAAATATTGGAAGATAATGTGGCACCTCACCACCTCTGCACTAATACAAATTTTCAATATTTTGAATATTTCTCGAACATAATTTTTCAGTACGCCATGTGTACACCGTTTATAATATTTTAATACTTAAATTAATCTGTGAATTTAATTTTCTGTTACATCTTTCTCTGTCTCATACTATAATTTTTATAATTCATTTGGTTTTTTTTTTGGAGAGTGCAGATTTTCTTATTTTCTTTGTTTGGTATAATAAATTTTTAATAAATAACTCAATTTAAACATTGGACTATTCAAATCACCCACTTAATATCGATTCATTTTTTCAATACATAAAATATATTTTAATTTTGAGTTTTAGTCCGGTCTTTTCCTCACTAATTTTAAAAATTATTTTTAATTACAATAATATTTAATTTTCTGTTACACCATCTTCCCACCGACTACAATTTTTCGAATTTGTTTATTTTTTTTGCGAGTTTTGTTATATTTTTTTTAATTTTGGAAATTTTTTACTAATTTATTCTATTTGAAAATTTCACTTGTTATTTCACCACCTCTGGAACAATCAAAATTTTAAATTTCTTGAACATTTTTTAAATTAGATTTTTAATTCCACCACTTTCTCAACTTATACATTTTTCGATTTTATTTAGTGATCTGCCTTTGAATGTACAGTTATTTTTTATCCAACTCCCTAACTTTTTAATAAATTAATTTTTCAAAGATATTTTTTCACCTCACCGTCTTCGCACTAATATAAATTTTTAATATATCGACTATTTCTCGTATATAATTGTCCATTACATCACCTGTGCACCGATTATGATATTTTAATACTTGAATTAATTTATGAATTCAATTTTCTGTTACACTTTTCTTGATCTTTCTCCCTCTTACTGTAAATTTTTAAAATTTATTTGGTTGTCTTTTTAAAGGTGCAGAATTTGTTTTTTTCTGCATATAAAAAATTTTGAATTAATAAATTAACTCAAAAATCCCCTATTTAGATCACCCACTTAGCATTAATTTGAGTTTTTCAATACATGAAATATATTTTAATTTTGATTTCCAGCTCTGTCTCTTTCTCACTTACACTAATGTTTACAATTATTTTTAATAATTATTAATTTTTTTTTTTTTTGTTACACCACTTTTCCACCATGAAAATTTCCCGAATTTGTTCGATTTTTTTTTTGTGAGCTTGGTAATATTTTTTTTTATAGTTTGAAAATTTTTTTATAATTCTTTTATTTAAATAACTCACTTGTTATCCCACCACCTCCGCACCAACTTAAATTTTTAAATCTATTGAATGTTTTGAAATTTGATTTTCATTTCTACCACTTTCTCAACTTCTACAATTTTTCGATTTTATTTAGTTATTTGCCTTTCAATGCACAGTTATTTTTTATCCGATTTTCTAATTTTTTAATGTATAATTAAATTTTCCAAGATAATTTTCACCTCACCACCGCCTTTGCATCAATTCAATTTTTTTTTTCATAAAATATATTTTAATTTTGATTTTCAGCTCTATCTATTTTTCTCCTATGCTAATTTTTAATAATTTTTAAATTTAACTTCCTGTCACACACTTTTTCATTGACAACAATTTTTCAAATTTATTTACTACCTACGTACTATTTACTTATTCTGATAAATAGAATACATTTTAAATTTGACTTTTAGTTCTAACATTTTTTCACTTTCTACATAAATTCATAAATTAATTTTTTTATTTAACTATGTTAATACCTATTTAAATTTTCTCAACAAATAAATATTTTACAATTTTAATTTTCTATCTCAACACCCCGTCACTCATAATAATTCTAGACATTACTTAGTTTATTTTCCATTCTACCATCTCTGCAGCTATCAAAATTCGTTTAATTATTTTTGTTGCCGTCTACAATCGCACATTTACTGTTAATCTGATTTAATAATTTTGTCAATAATCGTTGCTCTTTTCACTTTGGAAAATATTCACTTACTTGTTATTGATAATGTTTTAGTAGACTTACGGTTCAAGCTTTACTAATTCAATAAATGATAGTCTTCGTATGTTTCGAGGACTGTCTGTCGTCGATACCGACTAATCACTCTTCAATACTTGCTCCACCTGTTAACGTGAAAAGAGAATAAATATTAGTGTTTTTGTTTATTTATAAATATTCTGTATAAGAAAAGACTTTACCTATTTCGATCATTTTCAGCTTCTTTATTAATTCTTTTATACTTACCATTTTAACCCTATACCTTTCTTGTTAATTAATTATAATTTCAACACTATTATGTGAATACTTAGATGTTCCATTAATATTCATTGCGTGATATAATGAACTTTGCTTTTTTTTGTACTCTGAACTTATAGTTGCTCCTTTAAATTTTACAGAATTCATAATGCGGATTATTAGAAAATGCTTTATATTGATGAAAATTTTTTTTAACTGAGCGTAGCTTGATTTTGGTGGTCATCTTTTGATAGCCACCACGTAATTAGTTATGTTAGGCTGATTATGAACCTAACAATCACTCAATGTGACTTAGCGTTTATGCGCAACGGTATTTTTACAATTCGGTTCGCGCCACGAATGATTTCTTCCTCGTGCTGATGAACTTCATATCCAATGAAATCTTCCTTGCGGAGAACATCACTTAAGCGAAGAGTTACTTTGTAAAGTTTGTTCTTTCAACATCCTAGGGTATTGACTCATACTTGAGATCGTTGAAGTATGTCAGCTAGTGAAGTTAATCTTGTTTCGGTTAAAATGTTTGACATCTAATGGCTTCGAATATTTGTTTGTTTCTTCTCTTCAGAATCTGTAATTTTAATAAACAATTAGTTTCTGGTGAAAATTTAGTCAAACAACTTAAAAAATAAATGTAACAATTGATAAAAGCTTGAAAAAATTTTCAGATTTTCATTTTTTTACGTTTAGTCGATTAAGATTGCAATAATTGGACTCTGTTATGCAATAGTGTGTTCAGTACATCGGATTTCCATAGCACTCAACACATTAATGCATAACAGTGTCCAATTGTTTCGACAATTATAAAAATTGATTTACACCCACAATAATTATTGTATTAACTCTCTAATGTTTTGTTGACTGCACTCTTTCTTCTAACTTCACATGTTTCTATTAGATCACTAACAGTGCGCGTGTGGAACGCCAAGCATGTGCGCGGGATATTTGAAGCGTTTCTCATTTCAAACCTCATTCAAGCCTGCAGTACATAGATACAACTCGATCATATACACTTCAAATATTTAGCTAATTATTTCTTGTTTAATGGTTGATTAAAATGATTTCTTAGCTTTATAATTATTAACTAGTCTACAAATTTTTGTTTTAATTCCTAATAAAATTAAAAAAAAAAAATTTTTTTTAGCGTGGCCCATTATCCCAACAAAAGTATCCAGTTGATATTGTTATCACTCTTCTAAACTATCATTTATTTATACAAATAAATTATCAGATATCTTTTAATTTTTTTTCTTACTATTTATATATTGGCGAAAATAGTCTAAATTGGTTAGAAAAATTTGTTTCTTTTCTTTCATTTTAATTTGTGTAGTGAATTACAAAATCAAGGTAATTTATTTTTCATTGTTGTTAATTATTATTAATTAATGACATAATTAAAAGACCCAGAAAAAAAACACTAAAAAATAGTTACACTTCTATATCTTGTAATCTTTCGGGCCAACAAAAAAAATCATTAATTTTCTTGACGGCAATTTAAAAAATATATAACAGTCCATATCTGCCTAACAATCACTTGGTTTTTAATAATTGTTTTTTTTTTAAATATAAATTTCAACCTATCGTGAACACAAAACGAAATTGATAACTTTTTCTCAAGAATATTCGGAGTCTCTGATTAATAAATAAATTCATTTCATTATTGACCATACTCATTTCTAAATATTCTGCGTTCGTTAACATACTTATCTCCGACTTAATTTTTTATTAAATAATTTATTTGCCAAAAAAAAAAAAAATACTAATTTCCTAAAACAATCTCTTCATACACTAAAAGTATCAAACAATTATTTTGCAACTGCTCATACGATCCTAACATTATGCACCTTCTTTATTCAATATTTATTTTCGAGAAGAATATAATAATTTTTATTTTATACTCTAAGCTTCAATCAATTGTATTTGTCGATGATGGATAAATATAATCTGAATTTCTTATTATATCTGCGACTTTTCAATACTTTTTTTTAATCAGGGATTTTACCAAAAATAGCAATTCCAATTTTTATAAATACAATTTACCACTATCAATCTGTTATGAACCAGAATATTCTGATATCTTGAAAATTAATGTATATGATTATGCATTAGAATCTTTTTGCGAGTGCACAATTATTTTTTCTATATTTAATATTTCAATATCTTATTAAATTTTACAAATATAATTTGTTATCCTAAGGCTTTCACAATAATATAAATTTTAAAAACTTGAAATATTTTTTGAGTTTAATTGTTCAACTCACCACCTCTGCAGCCATTAATATGTTTTAATTCATTTTATGAAATATATTTTAAATTTGATTTCAGTTTAACCACTTTCTTATCTACTATAACTTTTTAATTTCATATGGTTAGCTTCTAGCGTGTGCAGTTATTTTTTATTTTTAGTTAATAATTACTCAATAAATTAGTTGATTTTCTAATATTATTTTTCATCTTACTATCGCAGCAGAATTTAAAATTTTTAGTACGTTAAATAAATTTTGAATTCGATTTTTAGTTCCACCATTTTCTCTGTTACTCTAATTTTTAATCTTATTTTATTATCTTCTCGGGAACGCAGTTTTTTTTTCTATTTTCCATTAAATTTTAAAATTTTCAAATATGATTTTTTATCTTACCACCTCCGTACCAATTGAAACTTTTTAATACATAGAAAATTTTATTGACTTTGATTTTCAGTACCATCACTTGTCCACCTGCCACAATTATATTATATTTTATTTGGT